TTGAAAGCTTAATTTAGTTTTAATACCAAGTACATTTAAATATTACATGTAAATTTTCCCTGTTAACTGTAAGGCATCATAATGAACTGAAAAATAATGCATCAGCAGTGTCTCAACATAATACATTTTTAAAGAGATGTGTAACAGCTTCTGTACAAACGTTGGTTCAGAACCTGTCCAGCCTTACTTGTTAAAAAGAATGCATAATATATTAATTAATAAAATCTGACAATATATATGTAATCAATGCCTGTGTTTTATACACAGATTATGTATAGCACTAATTTTTGTCACTTGCTAAAAGTTTATAGCTTCACTCATAAAAGAAAGTGACGCTATCTGATTAAAAGCTTTTAGGCTACTTTCTTGAAATAAAAACATCCGACAATACAACAGAAATATCTTTGAATTTAGCAGTATAAAACCAACCTGCATTTCCACAGTGACAATCAAATATAATTCATATTGTTTCTTACCTACAAGCAGAAAATATATTTTGCACTGTAAGTCCCAAAAGAAGTTGGCTAAAGGGCTCCATGAAAGCATCCTGTCCCACACAAATCCCACCTTTTTCTCAGCGCTAAGCCAGGGCTTGGACCTGCAGCTGCTGGTTTATTTGCTAGGGAAATCAGCAATGAGTTAACAGGCCCTATCCTGTCCCCTGCCTTATGTGATTTGAATATGTGTATACAAAGAACAAAGGGAGTGGAGCACCTGTTAGATGAGCACCCATCTTCATTGCCTCTGACTTTATTGTTACCCTTCCCTGGCAGTCACAGCAAATATCACATAGAATGTAATAAATGCGGCACAGAATAAAGTACGTTCAATTAATAAAAATAAGTGAATGCACCCAATGTAGAGGTTATATAGGTATTAACATCCTTTAGCTACAGTTTCATAAAAAATATCGTGCTACTAGATGGTTCTGCTTATTTCAAAGTAGTGTTCAGAAGATTTTTTTTCAGATCTTTTCCAGTGACAGCCTCTCCTTTTCTGTTATAAAAAATATTAAGAGCACGAGCCTTGCTTAAATTTTTTTCTAGCACTTTCGAGCCCATAACTTTTCTGTATTTTTTCCCTTAACATAAGCATAACTTGGCAAAGATTTTGTTCCCTTTCTCTAAACAACATGTAGTCTTAAGTGTCCATCAGGCATCTTCTAACAAAGAATCCTGTGGCTAGAGTGCACAGCTTACTACAGTTGTTGAGTTAGCTGCTGATTACTGTTTATTTTGCGTTAACGTACATCGGTTTAATTACTATTACTGTTAATATTAATGTATGATTTGGATTTGGATTTTGTCCAAGGCTGTCACTCACTGTACAAATCTAATCAGCAGCAAACCAGGCAACCCTCCTACAGTTGCATGTGCAGTAACAGTTTGCAACAGCAAATATTTGCATCGACAGGAATGGTTTATCCATAGAAAAACAGACTAAGTTTTCGCTATACAGCTATACAGCACTTCAGCAGACTGCCATGGATTAACAAATGCTAGGTTAGACTGTATCCTGCCTTGTGCAGGAGGGAGTGGTAGCAACGAATGGCCTCCCCCTCACTGCAGGGGTCCTGCAAGGTGCTAAGCCCCCACCAAAAGGGCTGAACACTCATTTTTTATTTAAGGGAGGTGAAAATACCTTCCAGAATTCTTAGCAGCTCTGTATAACCAGATGTAAGAAACATGAGGGTTATTTCAGGTTAACAAAAGTGTAAGTACAGTGGTCCTACCAGAAATAAAGTCACCACCAGACATGAGCCTTGTAAATGAAGAGGGTATTTTGCATATTCCCAAAGGCTTCCCAGGTCCACTGTCCTGCCCCTCCTGAATGCTGCTGTTTATAACCTGCTTAATCCACTTAACTGTAGGCTAGACATATCAAATTGCAACCTTTTATAAAACCTGAGTCAGAAATTATTATCTACTTGGTTTCAACATGTAATAAGATATTGGTCACAGGTTCCCATTAATTTCTAACTGAAATGAATGGGAGCTTTCACATTGGGATAAAGTCTGTGTTGGTGTTTTAAATGCCCTATGTGGGCAAAGAAAATTAAGAAAAAGAAGAACAGATTAGCGAAGTTATATTTTTCAAGTATGTCCCCTTAGTTCCAGCATTTGGATATGCTCTTGATGTCATTAATATGCTGCACTTTTTTTACACTGAATAACTTACACAAACAAAGCGGATGCTAAAAAAGTACATTATTTTTTCTACAGAATCTAGCTTGTGCTGGTTGTTAAGCGGCATTTAGACTTAATCAAACCTCACTCTTTTTAATAAAAGCAACTACATTAAAGCAACTTTATTTGCAGCAGTAACATTCTGAATACTTTCAGTATTTCTGCGAATTTTAGTTATTTTATTACAAACAAGTAACTTTGTTATGTGCTAAACTTGTTAAGAGGTTTTCCACAAAAATAACCATGGATTATACTCCCAATGGGAGCCAGAAGTAATGAATTCTTGCTAAAGAATTCAGGGAGGGGATGACAGGTGCTGACTTTCCCTTCACCACTGCGTTAGTTCAAATGGAGAGCAGCACGCCCGCTTTCACCTCTCGTACCCTGCAACAAGTTATCAGCCAGCTGGGGGGCTAAATAATAATGGGATTAGGAAACGTGTGCTAATCTATGTGCAGGCTCCAATAATTCCAGATGGAAAGACAACCTTTTCCGCAGGTATTACTATGCTGCAGAGGATGTGTTGGTAGCCGCATTATTGAATGTCATCTCCAGTTCAGCAAAGATTATAGGATAAATTCTTCCTTTTTTTTTGTATTGATATAGAATCATAGAATGCTTTGGGATGGAGGGGACCTTTAAAGGTCATCTAGTCCATCCCCCCTGCAATCGCCAGGGTCATCTTCAACTAGATCAGGTTGCTCAGAGCCCCATCCAGCCTGGCCTTGAATGTTTCCAAGGATGGGGCATCTACCACCTCTCTGGGCAACCCGTTCCAGTGTTTCACCACCCTCATCATGGAAAATTTTTTCCTTATATCCAGTCTGAATCTACCTTCTTTTAGTTTAAAACCATTACCCCTTGTCTTATCACTACTGGCCCTGCTAAAAAGGCCCTCTCCATCTTTCTTATAAGCCCCCTTTAAGTACTGAAAGGCTGCAACAAGGTCACCCTGCAGCCTTCTCTTTTCCAGGCTGAACAGCCTTTCCTCATGAGAGGTGTTCCATCCCTCTGATCACTTCTATGGTCCTCCTCTATGGGACCATCACTTCTATGGACCCGCTCCAACAGGTCCACGTCCTTCCTGTGCTGAGGACCCCAGAGCTGGATGCAGCACTCCAGGTAGGATCTCACCAGAGCAGAGCAGAGGGGCAGAATCACCTCCCTCAACCTGCTGGCCATGCTTCTTTTGATGCAGCCCAGGATACGGTTGGCTTTCTGGGCTGCGAGAGCACATTGCTGGCTCATATCCACCTTTTCATCTCTTGGTACCCCCAAGTCCTTCTCCTCAGGGCTGCTCTCAATCCCTTCATCCCCCAGCCTGTAGTGATACCAGGGATTGCCCCAACCCAGGTGCAGGACCTTGCACTTGGCCTTGTTGGACCTCATGAGGTTCACACAGGCCCACTCCTCAAGCTTGTCCAGGTCCCTCTGGATGGCATCCCGTCCTTCAGGTGTGTCAACTGCACCGCTCAGCTTGGTGGCATCTGCACACCACGTCAACGTCCCTCCTTTCCTGAGGTGCCGAGAGCTGGAACGAGGGCTCCAAGTGGGGTCTCACCAGAGCAGAGTAGAGCAGCAGAATCACCTCTCTCGACCTGCTGGCCACGCTGCTTTTGATGTAGCCCACGATACGGTTGGCTTTCTGGGCTGCAAGCGCACATTGCTGGCTCATGTCCAGTTTTTCATCTATCAGTACCTTGTCAGCTTTTTTTTTAGTTGAGATCTATACAACCGAAATATAGAGACACACAAGCCTGTTTTGGTGATGCAAAACTGCATCATCCGTGAACAGGCCCAACGCCCTTCCGCATAACACCTGAAATAACCCCAGGCAAACAGAACGCGGTCAGTATTCAAAGTGTATTTTCTAGCTGGTCTGTCTCTTTAGACAGAGACTCGTTCAGTCATCTCAGATAATTGCTTTCAAAGCCTAAACAAGCAAACCTCAATGTTCAAATACCCTATAAACATCCCCCAAACCCCAGAGAAGCCCTCGGCCTGCTGGGCCACTCGAGGCGTTTGTGGACATAAACCCAGCGAAGAGGCCAAGGCAGAGCACGGGTTTTGTTGACACGAGTTCAGCCGCGCTTTCAGACAGCAGGCTGCCGAACTTCGAGCTCCTTCCACTGCTCCGGA